CTTTTTTAGACAGAGGGCAAAAATGAATCAGTGCAAAGACAAACATACACTGAAAAGCATTTCATCATAGTAGTCATACTCAAATCCCAACAACTCACAAAAAACAAAATTAACAATCAACAGCAAACTCTCACTCATATGGTCAGACATGTACAGTCATACCCAGAATGCCAGAAAACTACAGGGATGTGGGCAGATTATTCAGCATTATTCTACTCGGCTTAACTGTATCCAACACACTGAGTTATTAAATAAACTGTGCATTTAATTCGTCGTTTAGCGAAGCAAGAGACAAACAATAATATCACAGCTACAAGAATTCACCCATATGTGTAAGTGTGGATAAAAGATGTCAGTCAAAATAAACCCCCAGTTTAGTCTACAGGATCAAATTAGTCACATTAACAGCACATAGAATAACTTTTAAAAATAAGAAACTGTACAGAAAAAAACAGGAAAACTGAAGTACGTTCAGTAATGCTCAGTAAATGGGAATTCTTGGATATGAACAGGAATCGCTTCTCACAAGCACTCAAACAGCCTTTTCCAAATTCCAATCCATGGGATAGCACAAATTTTCACTTCCTCCGACACAGTCCCAAACAATTTCAGTTTAGGTGATAATTAATCCATAATTCCTCAAATGTTTCTTTTCTTTCAGCACTTTTCAACACAGCACATAGAATAACTTTTAAAAATAAGAAACTGTACAGAAAAAAAACAGGAAAACTGAAGTACGTTCAGTAATGCTCAGTAAATGGGAATTCTTGGATATGAACAGGAATCGCTTCTCACAAGCACCCAAACAGCCTTTTCCAAATTCCAATCCATGGGATAGCACAAATTTTCACTTCCTCCGACACAGTCCCAAACAATTTCAGTTTAGGTGATAATTAATCCATAATTCCTCAAATGTTTCTTTTCTTTCAGCACTTTTCAATAGACGCTCAAAGGTTAGGAGGTACTTTGAAGAATCTTTGGTGTCTGAATCATTGTGGTAGTGTTCCTGTTTTAGATTAACATGACTGAAGCTTTTTTATCCGACATAACCTGTTATAAAGTTCAGAATTTGGTCAACAGGTCGGGTCGAATCAGTTTGGATCCGAACGCCTGGTCATCCATCCCCAAATCATCCTTCCATCACCTAGACTCAGCACACACACCTTAATATTTCAGGGTCAGTTGTAAAAGTTTAATGTAAAACTGTCAGACCTCACTGACAGGAAGATCCGCACTATCCAGATCAAGTTGGGGCAAAGGAGCGTCACACATTCCAAAGCTGCTACGTCGTCGCCATGGCGATTCGTGAGTCACTTGGAGAGGCGGGTCTCTTGCAATGATAGGCGGGCATGTGGGCGGGGCAGGGGCAGCAGGCTCATAAAGTGCTCGCTGTCCCATGCCAGGCCTCGTGGGACTACGGCATTCTGGGTTTGCTGACACAGCAGGGCTGGACGTCCAGGAGATGGCGTGACTCGTGTGCTGGCGGTAGAAACAGGAGCCGCCAACAATGAACTCCTAAATTGGATGACAGAGGGAGAGAATACATCTATGTAAGTTCTGGTCTGAATAAAGCGTTTTTAGGAAAGCGTTAAGACTGATTCAGTGTGGTAATGGCTGAGAGCAGTCTCAGCTGTGAGTAAGAACATCCAAGAAATGTATTAGAAGTTTTAGATGAGCTTAGCAAAAGAAGGTGAGAAGTACCAGAGCCAGCAGAGCACCAGAACAGAAGTGTTAATACTCAGAGAGCCCAGCTGTCCCACTCACTGGAAAACACAACATGAGAGAGAACGTGAGTAGTAGAGAGAGGTAGAAGCTGGACTGAACAATTGATTTTCCTAAGAACTAAGAAAAAAAAAAAAGAAATTAGCCTTCTTTTGTCCAATAAGTTTCATAAAGACACTGTCATTAGCAAGATTTTGACAGCAGCCCTTGTATCACAATTCTTAAATATGAGAACATGAAGCACATTAAGAACATGAGGATTAATAGCATTTCTAAACTTAAGCTTGAGTAGAATTATTTTTTTGACTAATTATTATTATTTATTTAATTCAGGGTGCGTTAAAAAGATCAAAAGTGACAAGACAGACATTTATAATGTTACAAAAATATTTATTTTTTCAAATAACTGACATTCTTTTAAACTTTCCTTTCATCAAAGATTCCTGAAAAATGTATTATTGTTTAGGAGCACAACTGTTTACAACATTGATCATATTTAAAAAAAAAAAAAATGTTTGAGCAGCAAATCAGCATCTCAAATGATTTTGTGAAGGATCATGTGATACTGAAATTTTAAAATAAACGAAAATTGTTGTACATTACTGTTTTTTACTAATTTTAATCAAATAAATGCTATCTTGGTGAGCATAAGAGACTTCTTTCAAAAACCTGCAATATTGGTGCATATATTACGAATTTTAAATGGATTATTATTGTATTTCAGTTCAATTATACGCACACACATACAATATTCAGGATCTACAACAATGGCCATTTTGTATCAATAATAGTTACTCTAATTTAAAATAAATAAACCTTTAAGTTTTTATTAGAGGGAATAGAAAAATATTGAGATTAGGGTTGCAAAGGGGTGGAAAATTTCCGGAAACTTTCCAAAAAAAAAATCCCTGGAATATTCCAAAAAAAATCCTTGAAAGTTTCCAAAATTTCTGGAATATTTCTGAAATTTACTGAAAATTTTCAACCTTTTTCCAACCCTAATTGAGATGTGTGTTAAATATTGTCAAAGACTGAACAATTTCAATTATTTTTAAGCTACATCGCCCAGCCCTAGGTAGAAGGTGGGAGAGAGAAACAGAGGTAAACAATGAAAGAAAAGAGTGGTGTGAGAAAGGTTGAATGACAAAATGAATATAAGAACTTAAGTAAAGGAAAGTCGACAAATATTGAGACAAGGTTGGAACTGCATCTGTGTTGAGTTACAAATGAATCCAGATATAAAAAATATTATCATCAGTTTGAGAACTGCAACACAACAACAACAAAAAAGTTGTTCTTAGTCATTGCTTTTAGACGGTCCAAAACATCTGACCTAACAATCATGTGAGAAAGCACAGACATGTCTAATCTAATAACAGCAGTGATTGAGGACCTGATGTCCAAGACTCGAGGGTTTACCTCACAAGACAGAAAGCTTACCCCCAGTCATTACTGAGAAGTTTGGATGACTTTTATGAAACAGACACCATAATGCAACTCAAAACACTAAAGCACACATAACCTCATCATAAGACACACACAAAATAATGCGCAAATTTGTGAGGTTTGGAAACGTGCAAACAACATAATGCATTAATGTGCTTAAGTTGAATGTGTATAACTTTAAAAATAATGTTATAGAGAAGACAACTGAACGTTTTAAAATCAACATGACACAAAAATGATCACATTACCAAAAGCTCTAATTTTAATCCTATCAATTTCCAAAGGATAAAATAAAGTTCTATTTAAAAATTTTTATCTCATCTAATATCCTTTCACTAATAAATATCACATAATGGAAGCAAAATGGGCCATTTATTTTAATCAGTAATTACCAGTTTGGATCATCATTTAGGAAGGTAAAAAAAAAAAAAAAAAAAGTCAAACTTTATGACCCATGTTGCACACAATGATAAAGAATAATGAAATACAGATGAGCAATCGAAACGTGTGAAACATGCATTTTGGGTGTGTAGCAGGAGACTGCAGTGGGCTGGCAGAGAGGCTGAAGCATTAGAAATGGAGAAGTGCGTCAATAACTGTTAGTTCAAATGAGGGAGCCACAGGGTTGAGAAGAAACATGAGAAAAAAAAACAAAGGTAGAATTAGCGGGGAAACAATGCATTTCTGGAATGAACTGTTGAATAAGTTTATTTCTGCATTTGAACTGTTAGGTGTGCGCATATGTGTGAAGTTATTCTAGAAAAGCGAAGTGGAAAAGATTAAGCTACGCGAGTACGTCCGCGTGCGTATGTGCGTTAGCGACTCCTCTAAAGCGAAGCGAGGAAAAGGAAACAAGGGGCGGATCAAAGGGGCGGAGCTCACATACGTGCTGCCTTGAGTGACACGTGGTGTGTATCTCTGAATACAGGGGCTTGAATGCCTTCTGGCCTGACGCATCTGAAACAACATTGCAAAGCTGCATTAGAGGGAGTAAGGGAGAAATAGATACAGGCGCCCCAAAAAGTATTTGGACACTTAATGTATGAATGTCATTGCATTTATATATATATATATAAATATACAACAAAATATCAAACCAATTGGCATCTGCAAGAAAAAAAAAACTTTCTTACTTTTGAACAATACATCTATTGTTTTTATGACTTAAAACTTAAGTTTCTAAATGCATTTTATTGTGAATGATTATTGTGATTATCTTATTGTGAACAATCATCCATGCATGTTTCATTTTTTTTTAAACGTTTTTTCAATCTAGTAATTTTTAACTCAATCTTCCCCAATCATTTAGACCTCTTAAACGCTGCCCCTTTCTTACAAATGACTGTGAGCTTGCATTCAGATCTGCCTTCATCCAAACAACAACCAATGAACAGAACCTAGCCTTCACCCTGCATTTTTCTTCTTATTCAATAATCCGTTTTACTTGGAAATACATCACAACACAGAAGAAAAGATTTGTTGCTTGCTACTTCCATCTACATCGAAATGTTTAACTCGAAAATGCTTCCATATTCAAAAAATTCTACTTTGTACAGTATTTCTACAAAATATATATGACTTTTATACATTAAGTGTGACTGAAGTCTCCAAATACTTTTTGGGGTCACTAGGTTCAGAGGGGGAGTAGGAGAAAAGGTATGAACCGAACAGATTGTGGCCCACACATAATGAGTGTACTCTCTGATTCCAGAGTGCAATAACACTTCAGAGCCATTACCAATCTTAAACCCAAACCACTGCAGTCATATTATTATTGACTTGTGTTTGTATGTATGCGCATATGTGCGTGTGAGAGAGAGAGAAAGAGAAAGAAAGGCACATGATTAAACTATATATGTATGCAGGGATTTTTTGGAAAACATTCACACACTCTCCACGTGTTCTCGGCTTGACTCATGAATTCATGCTCCATTGTTTTGCTCAGAGGCAGAGTGACTACCTGCTTTTGAATGCATGTGTGCGTGTGTGTACATACAGAGGCTGCGGATCGGCCTGGGCCCCTCTGAGCCACAATGGCTCCTGAAATAGCCTTGATCCAGCTGTGCATCTCCTCTGGACTATCAGCCTGAAACAGAATGGTAGAATCTGTACCAAGTTTTTACATATTCTAAAAGAAACAAAGAGATACTACAAAAGTTATAAAAGCTCTGAGCCTGTCTATATGGTTCAAAGATACAGTGTAGAACCTACATACGACAGTAATATTAATTTGCACAAAAGAGAGAAATCCATTTCAATCACCCTTTTCATTAAATCTTGAGATCTTTGGACTGTTAAGTTATAGAAGTGCATGTTGCTGCTTGACAAGACTTCTCACCTGGACATAAAATGTTCTGGAGGTTGTGACAACTTCAAAGAGGTTGTCTCGCATCATTATTTCACTGAAAGTGAAAAGGGGAAGAGAACAATTTGTATATTAAATCTATAACTATAAATGCACACCTGCAAATCTAAATGTACACTACCTTTCATAAGATTGGGGTTAACAAGATAAAAAAAAAATTGAGCTAGTAACCTTTTAATTAGCAAGAATGCATTAAATTGATCAATAGTGACAGAAAATATATTTACAATGTTACTATCTCAAATAAATGCGCACCTGCAAATCTAAATGTACACTACCTTTCATAAGATTGGGGTTAACAAGATAAAAAAAAATTGAGCTAGTAACCTTTTAATTAGCAAGAATGCATTAAATTGATCAATAGTGACAGAAAATATATTTACAATGTTACTATCTCAAATAAATGCTGTCAAAGAATCCTGGAAAAAATTTATCAAGGTTTCCACAAAAATTAAGCAGCAAAACCAAAACCATTTTCAACATAATACTAAGAAATATTTCTTGAGCACCAAATCAGCATATTAGAATGATTTCTGAAGGATCATTTGACACTGAAGACTGAAGTAATGCCTGCTGAAAATTCAGCTTTACCATCATAGGAATAAATTACTTTTTAAAAAGAAAAAAGTTATTTTAAATTATATTTTGAACGGTAGTGTAAATGCACAATGCAATTATTTCTTCTTGGTATATTTACTTCATATATTTATAGGAATGTTCAGTCAAATAACAAGATCCCAAAGCATATGACTGGCAGACATTCTATTTGTACCTGTGTTTGCACTCCTGCACCTTATGGACCTCCTTCAGAAGAATAATCCGCAAAGGCTCCTTCTCCTGATAAGAGAAATTAAGTGAGAAAAAGACAAAGAGGTCTCACAGAGATAGATTTATTGGCATGGAGTGCTTACTCTGTGCAAGAACCACTCAACTGGACTAAGATTTATCCTCAGCCAGACACAAATGCACATATGAAGCTGAATTATATGAAGCTGAATTACACACAGCTGGCAGCTGCCTGGAATTTCTCAGCTATAGTGCTGTTCATGCTGAGACAGAGCACTGGTATTTGCTATATCTTTTGTTCAGATAAAAAAAAAAACCTCACATGTAAAAGAAAATAACCATTCAATTCATATTCTTTCTTTCATAAAACAGCAGTCTAAGGCCATTTCTCACAGAAGAGAGGCTTATTCATTCAAATAAATAGCTTGTACATTTCAGCTTACATGTCAAGATCAACTTGATAACATGAAAAAGTAGCCATTCATTCTAAAATTTTAACATGATTTATTGGACACCTGAACTTGTACAAGGCATTGAGCAGCATTCAACAAACTATCAGACGTAACTGCTTCATAAGACAAGAATTAATATACAACATACCAGTTCAGACTTGAAGTAACTCATTGAGTTCTGCTCCAGAACAAAATATCTCCTTTTCCAGTTCTTCATCTGATATAAGAGGAAAATAGTAACCTGTAATGATTTTTTTGGAACACACACAAACATAGTTCCACAAGACCTAGGCTAAAACCAGTCTCTTAGACTCACCAGAGCCCCCTGTTTGACGCAGTATCCTGCTTTAATAACGGTCTGATCCTGCCCTGCTCTAGTGTGCAAATATGGCGGATGGTTTTGAGCCTTCCTCAAGCCCACCTTCTCTCCTCCAACACTGTGTCCCACCTCTCCATCCTGCTGAAAGAGGGGAAAAAGGGAAAAATCAGACACATAAAAGCATACAGAAAAAAGTTCAAAAATAGGCACATGGTTTTATTTATTTGTCCTTTATTTTAATACAATTACTTACCTAATTGAGAAGAACTGGGCAGCTACATGCAATTTTTTTATTTCATTTAATTTGTTAATATTTATAACAATTATTATTATTATTATGAGCAGTAGTAGCAGTAGTAGTAGTATTACATGAACTTTGTTAATATAATTCTTATATATATATAAGAACCGACAGAAAGGTGTTTTCGTGTTTTTTGTCTTGTGAGTCGCAGTGTTTTTGTACGCATTCATCGCGTCTATTTGTTTCTAAGCGCGCATATTGTCGTGAGTTTCTGCTCGATGTCGGCAGAACCACATTTTTAAGAGTTAAACTCTGCGCACGCCGAAGAGCTGCGGGATCTCGGTCTGCTCCGGAGGCCCACTCCATCTGGACTAAGATTTATCCTCAGCCAGACACAAATGCACATATGAAGCTGAATTATATGAAGCTGAATTACACACAGCTGGCAGCTGCCTGGAATTTCTCAGCTATAGTGCTGTTCATGCTGAGACAGAGCACTGGTATTTGCTATATCTTTTGTTCAGATAAAAAAAAAAAACCTCACATGTAAAAGAAAATAACCATTCAATTCATATTCTTTCTTTCATAAAACAGCAGTCTAAGGCCATTTCTCACAGAAGAGAGGCTTATTCATTCAAATAAATAGCTTGTACATTTCAGCTTACATGTCAAGATCAACTTGATAACATGAAAAAGTAGCCATTCATTCTAAAATTTTAACATGATTTATTGGACACCTGAACTTGTACAAGGCATTGAGCAGCATTCAACAAACTATCAGACGTAACTGCTTCATAAGACAAGAATTAATATACAACATACCAGTTCAGACTTGAAGTAACTCATTGAGTTCTGCTCCAGAACAAAATATCTCCTTTTCCAGTTCTTCATCTGATATAAGAGGAAAATAGTAACCTGTAATGATTTTTTTGGAACACACACAAACATAGTTCCACAAGACCTAGGCTAAAACCAGTCTCTTAGACTCACCAGAGCCCCCTGTTTGACGCAGTATCCTGCTTTAATAACGGTCTGATCCTGCCCTGCTCTAGTGTGCAAATATGGCGGATGGTTTTGAGCCTTCCTCAAGCCCACCTTCTCTCCTCCAACACTGTGTCCCACCTCTCCATCCTGCTGAAAGAGGGGAAAAAGGGAAAAATCAGACACATAAAAGCATACAGAAAAAAGTTCAAAAATAGGCACATGGTTTTATTTATTTGTCCTTTATTTTAATACAATTACTTACCTAATTGAGAAGAACTGGGACATGCAATTTTTTTATTTCATTTAATTTGTTAATATTTATAACAATTATTATTATTATTATGAGCAGTAGTAGCAGTAGTAGTAGTATTACATGAACTTTGTTAATATAATTCTTATATATATATAAGAACCGACAGAAAGGTGTTTTCGTGTTTTTTGTCTTGTGAGTCGCAGTGTTTTTGTACGCATTCATCGCGTCTATTTGTTTCTAAGCGCGCATATTGTCGTGAGTTTCTGCTCGATGTCGGCAGAACCACATTTTTAAGAGTTAAACTCTGCGCACGCCGAAGAGCTGCGGGATCTCGGTCTGCTCCGGAGGCCCACTCCATCACCGACCCCCACTGCTGCATCTCGCCCACAGCGGAGGCGTCACAAGCGGCGCGAGAGGAAGCAGAAGAGGGGTAAGCCCGGAGGTATCCGGGCTAGGCTAGCGGCTAACCCACACAAGCCGGCTATCCCCACCATCGTACTGATCACTATATCTGCACTGTTGTTTACTTTACTGGTTTGCACTCTATCCTCCATATGCCTTGTGCTTTATATATATATTTTTACATTTTACCTTATTTGTATATTTGTATAGTTTATAGTTGTATTTTGTATAGTTGTATTTTGTATTTAATCTGTATTTATGTTATCTGTATGCACCCAAGGGTCTGAGAGTAACGCAATTTCAATTCTCTGTGTGTATGTGCTGTACATGTGGAAGAATTGACAATAAAGCAGACTTGACTTGACTTGATATATATATATATATATATATATATATAATTTATTCTTATTTATAATTTTTAAGTTAAAACCATTTTCACCATTACCATATTAGTTTTTGATATAGTATTAATAGTATTTTTGATATAGTATTAATAGTATTTCATGGTTTAATTCAGTTTGTTAATATTAACACTAATAATTATATTGTATTATTATTATCATTATTAATACAATTTATGAATATTTAACTTTTTACATAGAAACATATCAACAGCATATCTGTTTTTGATGTGGTATTAAAATTACATGTCATTGTTTTAAATTGGTTAATATTAGCATTCAATCATATAATAATACTGTATTTATGCATTATCTTTATTATATTTTAATACAATGTAATAATATTTCTTTATATTTAACTTTATACATTAAAAAAAGCATATCATTATTAGAATCATTATGCAGTATCATTAATGTGGTATTAAAATAGTTACAATCATTACATTTCTGGTATTGGTACTGACTAAAAATGTTTGTATCATGACAACCCTAGTCTTGACTGACAGATAGGGATAAAGCAGGTATATATTTTGTGTTTAAGCCTACAAGAGTGAGATTACCTGTGTCTGTGTGACGACAGCCACTCCTGCAATGATCTCGGTCTTGTATGGGACCTGTTTTTTGTTTCCATTTGAAGCTAACCTCTGACTCTCAGAATGAACAGCATCAGATGACTTAGGAACCTGGGAGAAAAGAAAAAGAAGTGAGAGGGAGTTTTCCAGGACGAGCAAAATCAGGGTAGCAGCAAAAGACTGAAAATGCAAAGTAATGCAACAAAAAGACGGAGGGAAAAAAAGGTGAATGGAACACAGACGAATTAACCATCAATTGTTAGACTCACAGGATAACTCAACAACTGCTTATTGTGTAGCCCTTCAATCCATCAGCCCATGCTCCAAGAGTGTCTAGCCTACAATGAGAGCTTTTCCTGCCATTGCATGTGGAAGTGTGATATATTAGTGATACAGAGAGAGTGAAAAAATGTAGAAGAGAGACAGAGACATTGTAGGGTACGTGTGTGTGTGTGTGTGTGTGTGTGTGAGGGCATTCTGAAGCTATGATGACTCAGAAGTGAGGGTCGTTCAAACAATACAACTTCCCATTAGTCAGCCAAGTGACTCGCACATGGAAAACTGCATCAGGATGAGGAACGCAGAGCTTAAACAGGACGGATTTTTTTTTTTTTTACTTTCAGCATCCTGTGCGTATGCATGTATGTGTTTGCCTGCACATATACTCAGAGAGGGGAAGACGATCCCAGTTAGGAAACTTGATGTTTTATTGTGCTGATGTGTTTTCTTACTGTAATTTGCCTGTAAATGCTTGAACTTTGTTATTTGGGTTACCTTTAATAGATAAACTCCCAGACAATACTAACTAGAATTTATCTCCCAGAGAACAAGTCTGTAGTGTTAACAGAACCACTGACACTGACTGAATGAACTTGTTGAATGCTTTCATTGTTTTTTTTTTAATGTTCCTGTGTGCAGCAGTCTGGGATATCAGATTAGCATGTAAGCTTGTTTAATAGCTAGATAACTAATGCAAACAGTCCAGGACTTTAAAGAAGCTTGAAAGGGAGACATAATAGCTAATTTAATCTATATTTTCATGCAATGAAAACAGAACACAAGGGTGAATAAACTCTAGTGTTCTTATGTAGCAAGGACACACAAAAAAAGATACCTATATGTTGTTTAAAAAAAACATCTATTTCAAATAAATGCTGTTCTTCAACTTCCTATTCATCAAAGAATCCTGAAAAAAGTATCGCAGTTACAACAAAAATATTAATCAGCAAGTGCTATAAGTGTTTTCAACATTGATAATAATAAATATTTCTTGAGCATCAATTTAGAATTTCTCAAGGATCATGTGACACTAAAGACTGGAGTAATGACTGGTGAAAATTAAACTTCATCACAGGATTAAATAAAATATGAAAATATATTAAAACAGAAAACATTTATAATTGTAATAATATTTGTTTTTGTGTTTTACTGTATTTTTGATCAAACAAATGCAGCCTTGCTGAGCATAAAAACATCTCTTTCAAGCATTATGGTAGTATTTATGTACTGTTTATTTATTCTGATGTAATTAAATTATTATATTACATTTCAACTGCAATTAAGTAAAATTACTTATTATGAGAATTAGGGCACCACAATTTCAATTATTCCTTTTGATACTGTAATCCCACTTCATAATTCTGATAAACGTGTGATTGGTTATAATACACAATTCGTTTGATTATTTATGTGTTTAATTTTGTTAAAAAATAATGAAATTTGGGGGGGTTCAGGGTGGTCCATTTTTGTAAGGGGTTATATGCATATAGATGCATATTCACGCTCACGCTTGTGGATTTTGCGTGTGTGTACTCACTGTGATTTTGGTTGCATTATTGAGCGCGATGACCCATTCCACAAGATCCTGCTGATCATTAGCCTGCAGAAAGAATTTCCTCATTCCTGCATTGATGACTGTACACAGACAGAGAGAAAGAGCTTAACCCCATTTCCCATAATGCAATGGCCATAACTCTAATTTTGCAGAGTAGTTCTGAGAAATATCAGTGTATCAGAAGTCTCAGTGTATTTTTAAAATGTCCATAAATCCCAAAAGCCCACAGATAGCCTGTTTTAGAGCCCAGCCGACTTTATGGATTATTTGATCATGCTCAGTCAATAAGGCAGTGGCAATCAATTTTGGACTAAAAAGCTACAGCAAAACAGAACTCGACTCAATTTTTTCCCTGCAATGTCTGTTAATTTCAGTGTTTTTCTGGGATAAAAAGGTGAATGCTAGAATTCACTGCGTCACAATAAACTCCATTGTGCAAGTGCAATGTTCATTATGCGCAGCTGTACTGAAATGTTTAGCCTTCTACCAACAGTTCTCACTCATACAAGTGACACCATTCCGTGTCATTGTATGGTTTAAATTTTGCTGATAGCATGCATTTCTACAGTGGGGCAAATAAGTATTTGATACACTGCTGATTTTTCAAGTTTTCCCCACTTACAAAGAATGGAGAGATCTGTAATTTTCATCGTAGGTACACCTCAACTGTGAGAGACAGAATCTAAAAAAAAAAATCCATTAAATCACATTGTATGATTTTTAAATAATTCATTTCCATTTTATTGCATGAAATCAGTATTTGATACAATAGAAAAATAGAACTTAATATTTCGTACAGAAACCTTTGTTTACAATTACAGAGGTCAGACGTTTCCTGTAGTTCATGACCAGGTTTGCACACACTGCAGCAGGGATTTTGGCCCACTCCTCCATACAGGTGTTCTCCAGATCTTTCAGGTTTTGGGGCTGTCGCTGGGCTACACGGAGTTTCAGCTCCCTCCATAGATTTTCTATTGGGTTAAGTCTGGAGACTGGCTAGGCCACTCCAGAACCTTGAAATGCTTCTTACGGAGCCACTCCTTAGTTGCCCTGGCTGTGTGTTTGGGGTCATTGTCATGCTGGAAGACCCAGCCACGACCCATCTTCAATGCTCTTACTGAGGGAAGGAGGTTGTTGCCCAAAATCTCGCAATACATGGCCCCATCCATCCTCCCCTCAATACGGTGCAGTCGTCCTGTCCCCTTTGCAGAAAAGCACCCCCAAAGCATGATGTTTCCACCCACATGTTTGACGGTTGGGATGGTGTTCTTGGGATTATACTCATTCTTCTTCTTCCTCCAAACACGTCGAGTGGAGTTTATACCAAAAACTTCTATTTTGGTCTCCTCTGACCACATGACCTTCTCCCATGCCTCCTCTGGATCATCCAGATGGTCTTTGGCAAACTTCAGACGGGCCTGGACATGTGCTGGCTTGAGCAGGGGGACCTTGCCCACGCTGCAGGATTTTAATCCATGACGGTGTAGTGTGTTACTAATGGTAACCGTTGAGACTGTGGTCCCAGCTCTCTTCAGGTCATTGACCAGGTCCTCCCGTGTAGTTCTAGGCTGATCCCTCACCTTTCTCAGGATCATTGATACTCCACGAGGCGAGATCTTGCATGGAGCCCCAGTCCGAGGGAGATTGACAGTCATCTTGAATTTCTTCCATTTTCTAATAATTGCGCCAACAGTTGTTGCCTTCTCACCAAGCTGTTTGCCTATTTTCCTGTAGCCCATCCCAGCCTTGTGCAGGTCTACAATTTTGTCCCTGGTGTCCTTAGACAGCTCTTTGGTCTTGCCCATAGTGGAGAGATTGGAGTCTGATTGATTGAGTGTGTGGACAGGTGTCTTTTATACAGGTAACATGTTCAAACAGGTGCAATTAATACAGGTAATGAGTGGAGGATAGGAGGGCTTCTTAAAGACAAACTAACAGGTCTGTGAGAGCCAGAATTCTTGCTGGTTGGTAGGTGATCAAATACTTATTTCATGCAATAAAATGGAAATTAATTATTTAAAAATCATACAATGTGATTTTCTGGATTTTTTTTTGATTCTGTCTCTCACAGTTGAGGTGTACCTACGATGAAAATTACAGATCTCTCCATTCTTTGTAAGTGGGAAAACTTGAAAAATCGGCAGTGTATCAAATACTTATTTGCCCCACTGTAAGTGTTTATATAATCTTTTTTTCTAACAATGACATTTTGAAAATGATTGCTTTGTGTTTTTTTTGCGACTCAAACCAAAATGAAAGTCATGAATCACTGACAATCTTTAACTCAAGTGAGCTGTTGCAAATGGATAATTGAGTGAGTTGAACCCGAGAACCAGATCAGACCGGTTTTGTGAACTGAATCAACTAATTCATCTGACCCAAAAGAAGTTTTCGTCATTTTAGAGTGTCACAGCCACAGAGTGGCAAGAGTTTTTGTTTTGTTTTTTCTTTTATTGCGCATTTCATGGAAGAAATATAGTCATATGGGCTTGGAAGATGATGAATAAATAACTCATAAATAATGAGTGAACTATTCCTTAAGCTATATCTGGTTAAAAGCAACTGTTAAAAAGTTAGAAGTACTGGTGGTTATTTTTGAAGAACTAAACCAATAAACAGGATTTCAAAAACACTTCAATATGAAGTTCAGGTTACTACAGAAGCATCCTGCAAAGAGCAAGATTTTAGAAGCACATGTGCACACATACACACATCTACCCAGTGACCAGACCACCATTTCCTGTTTCCACTCGTGTTGCACAGAAGGTTACCATGTGCACTGCAGTAACCGTACATGCAAAGCAACACAAAAGTTTGCGTGTATAAGCTGTGAGAACGAGTATGGGCTCAAAATCATCTCAAAGTGTGTGTGAAACAGAAGAGTAGGAAAAATTTTTAGGTAGAGCACCACTGCATCAGCATACTACTTCAATCCATTCGCAGAAGTACAAAAGCAGTGCTTACAGTAAAAACATGATTTAAAACCAAACTTATACGTTTTCTTTTACAGCACCTAGCCAGGATTCAAACCACAAACCCTTCACTCAAGAACCAAGGCTTGAGCTGAAATTTTCAATGCCTGTTCACATTAAGTGAGATGTACAAAATAACATGAAAGTGTTATATGAATAAGATAAGAAGAAAATGTTTTCATATCTTATGTAGTCTGATGGCAATTTTGATTGTCAGAAAGTCATTCACATTTTCAAGCTATTTTAAAATTGTAAATGTATAAAATATAAATAAATAAAAATTAAAGTACATTATTAATGGACAAAAAAAAAAGACATACAATTTTAAATATCTGGCTTACACCTTTACAATAAAGACAGAAAAAAAGAAATGCTCAACTACATCTAAAGCATCATAACAATGACTGTGAAGTAAAAGTGTGTATAGATGTGAGAAAGTCTTACCAAAACAGTATTCAGCTTTTGGCCTCTGTTTGGTGGCATCACTGACCTAAGAAAAGAGTGTGGGCCTTATAGCAATTTCTCAAAAATCAATTACGGAGAAATGGGAGAATGTTTGAAAACTATTGTGAGTGTGAAAAGGTGGCAGCTTACCTTGGATATGTAGGTGAGACTGAGGGAACCTACGTGTTTGGCACCTACAGGCAGGTTCTAGAAGACCAATAAACAATATCACTCTCAGATAGTTAATCAGAACCTACATTACCCAATATCCATTTAAGCTTTAGACAGATCATACCTGCGGGTTGTCCATGTACCAGACCAGACTACCCTGCTGCGTGTCCAAGATGAAATACCGCCGCAGGAACTTGCCGCTGTTCTCCATTTCTTCGATGTCCAGGAAACCGCAGATGCGGTTCTGTCGGTCCACGTAAGGCATGTCCACCTATCTTCACACTACTCATTCCCTCCTCTCTCTGATATCAGTAACTGCTGAAGACAGAGACAGAGATGGAAAGGGAGGAGCATGAGATAGGATACAAAGATTGGAAAGAGAGAGAGAGAGGTTAGTCAGACTAACAGTAAATAAACTGATGCCGTTATGTGGCTGTAAAAATTCCCCCTCCCTTGATGACCACTCTCTCTTCTTTTCTCTCTCTTTCTTGTGCTCTTTCAGCTGAAAAATATTTTCTTTCTCTGATGTGTCAAAGTCTTCGGCAGAGGATATGAATCACAGCACTGCCTTGCATTAGTAACTGACAAGACCATATAATATATTATAATTTTTTTTAATTAGGAGGAAGGAAAAGAGTACAACCATGGTAAATTACCTAATGAAAACTAAAAAAGTGAGAAAAAAACTATATATGAGAACTTTAAGAAGTGGCAAATTGTATAAGAATAAGAAAATAAGTATTATTTTCAATAAAAAAAAATTTGTATTATATTATTATTGTAAATTCAAAGGAATTAGTTTTGTCCTCAATTAATTATTGTGAACTGATGAGCAGTAGTTCATAATTCACAATACATCAGTAAGTTATAACTTTTATTCACCAAGGAGGTATTAAATTGATGAAATACTTGTATATTGTTACAAAAAAAAACTATTTCAAATAAATGCTGCTCTTTTAAACTGTCTATTTATCAAAGAATAAAAAGTAAGCGTGTTATGGAGTCCAAAAAAATATTAAGCAGTACAACTTTTTTTTAAATTGATAATAATAAGAAATGTTTCTTGAGCAGCAAATTGAATAGAATGAATTCTGAAGGGTCACGTGACACTGTAATGGCTACTGAAAATTCAGCTTTGCCATCACAGGAATAAATTACATTTTAAAATACAATGAAATAGAAAACAGGCATTTTAAAATCGCAATATTATTTCACAGTATTACTGATTAATTGTATTTCTGATCAAATTTAATGTGCTACATATTTTTGCAACATGCACTCTCATGCTGTATTAAATAACATTCAAAAACATTCTGACAACACATGAATATGGCACATAATATGTCGGACTGGCAAAACCAAAAATAATCCACCATTTTCCTCTTGTATTCTGAGGGCAGGGGCATTAATGGCATGAGTGTAAGTCATAGACAAAGGCTGTGAAGGAAGACAAGGCCTGCTGTGTCATCGCCCTACAGAGGCAACAATGACCATGAGTCACTTAACCAATTAGCATGGAGCACTGTTCTGCCCCACCCTGGGTTCCAGAGCACAGAATAAGCCTTGTGTTTTGGAATGCTTATAGCTTCTAGAGAAGCCCTGTTCTTCTAGGTTTTAAAGTATGCAGGCCTGTACCATCATAAGCAAAACATGATGTATAGAGCATTTGGGTTTGAACAAAAGCACACATTCTCATTCCGAGTTGTTATCGGCTGATGTGCTGCTTATCAGAGCCTGCAAAAGTAGGGCATCAGCTGGAGAGGATTCAGATCCCGTATTCTCACTCTCCTCCTCCTGATTTTCATTTTAGACTGGGCAGATAGTCTCCAAGACAGGTCTGGTCACATTCTAGACAGGATTCATTTTGTTTTAGACTAGACCAACCACATTAACACAAAGAAGTTAAGAGTCCAAACTCTTTATCTCTGGATCTTAGACATATGTGTGTGTGTGTGTGTAACAAGGTTATAATTACATGTTGAGCTTAATTTTAACTTTAACAAAACTTCATATCCATAAACGTACTCACACAGAGACAGATGAACGAATAAGGGTCATTTCTCAAACTACTCACTCGTTTTATTATCGCTGAAGTGGTGCGGTTCAGCCCATCTCCTGCTCGTGGCCCCGTTCACAAACTTCACGAGCGTTTTTCCTGTAGGAGCGGAAGTGGCTGTATGCGTCACTGCGTCAGGTTTTTTTTTTTTGTCTTTCTGTTCTCTCATTTTCATTCTTTCATACAGGCACTTTTAAAATAGTAATATTTATATTTTTGTTCTCTTCCTTTAGTTGAATAATAAGCAGAGAATCAGGTACGTGGCTCACTTAATAAGGCAAGTTTCATTGGTATAAAAATACCTTTAAAAAAAACATTTTCGCATAGTTAATAAAATAAAACTGGTAATTGTAATATAAAAATAGCAACAATAGGATATTATCCCCTATGATAATCAAAAATAATTAACACAAAGAAGTTAAGAGTCCAAACTCTTTATCTCTGGATCTTAGACATATGTGTGTGTGTGTGTGTAACAAGGTTATAATTACATGTTGAGCTTAATTTATGTTATTTGATGTGTTTTAACACAAGCACACACACTCACACACACAAGAAGACACTTACTACACATATTTAGGTTGGTTTGCATGCGCACATCCTTCTTTGAATCCCTGATTAGAAAACAAATCTGCCATTTCACTGACAAAGATGAACGTCATAGATAAGGCACATGAAACACCACTTTAACCTGGACTGTGTTTTTGCATGTGCACAGCACAAGACATGATACTCTCTGCGACCTAATTCACTCTTTTATTATACTTTATTATTATACACCAAAAGTTGGCATATTTGCATTAATTCAGCAATTCAGGCAAAACAGACAAGAATGCACACCTCACACATTTGTTTTGAACCAGGTGAGGTTGTCAGAGAGATTGCACCAAGCTCTTGCCCTTGAGCTCGTTTCAGCAATTGCAAACGTGAACATAGACACATTAAGGTTATTACAGTTTTTACATTTTCAAATTTTGTTACTATTTTAAAGGGTTAGTTAGTCATCATCAATTACCTTCACAATTACCTGTCACCATGTCATTCCAAACCCAAAGACTTGTTTTATGTTTATTACTCACATGACAATATTTCTAATAAAACCTGAGAGTTCTGTCTGTCCATTAAAAGTCCATCCAACCAAATCTTAAAGGGGTTTAAAAAAAATAAAAAATTATATTCAGAACATTTTTTGAATAAACTGCTCGAATGCCGTTTTTAACTTTTTAAAGAATCAAACGTTTGATGGAACAGACTTTCAGTGGATGGACAGAAACCTCTCAGGTTTCATTAAAATATCTCCATTTTTGTTTCAAGATGGAAGAAACATTTGGAACGACATGAAGTTGAGTAACTAATAACTAGTCTTATTTTCACACTTCACATTTCAGTTTAGTTTTATTTCAATAACAGCTTAGTTTTCCGATATGGATATATATTAGCCTACATATATAATAAGTATGTGTGTGTGTGTGTGTGTGTGTGTGTGTAATATGGATATATTTCAATTTAATTTCAGTTATACCAATTATAGTGAAGGAATCAGGAACTAACATTGTTGCTAAAACAAGCAAAATCTGAGGTTTTTAGTTTTCTAGTTGCTTTCATAAAAAAAAAATTTTCAGTTTACGAATATATATTTTTAAATCTTAGTATTCAATAATGAGCCTGACATAAACATAGAAATGATTATGTAGACTGTGCACATCTGTACAGTAAACAGATCGGTTCCATCTGTATTAAACAGATATACAGTGGGAAAGTATTCAGACCCCCTTAAATTTTTCACTCTGTTATATTGCAGCCATTTGCTAAAATCATTTAAGTTAATTTTTTTTCCTCATTAATGTACACATGTACCCACTGTATCAAGGACATGCAGAAAAAATGGTCTCTTCCTCTTTCCTTGATTTCTCTGTTCATCACCTAACCATAAGATAAACTCCACCAACATCATGAAATCAAATGAAGACTGGTCAGGTGGTAAAAATTTTGAAATCAAAGAATGCTTCTCTCAAATGAATGTAAAATAGATGCATTAAACAAAACAACTCCGTATGTCTACTAAAACATGTAACAGCATCTCCATCTACAAAAACATGATCATTGAAAGTGTAAGTGAAAGTTCATGTTGGATGCGGTCAACATATTGTTAAACCAAAGCCAAATGTTTGCTGACCGATCCATTCACCATGCCCGTTTTCAAACACACTAAAAAAAAAAGTGATGACCTCAAACACAATGACCTGTTACGCAACAGTTCAACACATTTTAGGTCAGATGTCCATTGGTTGGTCTGTGGTAAAGACAAGCCGAAAACACTGACAATAATACAAAACCATAACTCAGTACAACATCAGAGATGTTGCCACAGCGGTTGATTTAAATCAGGGGTGGGCAAACTTGGCCCTTCCAGACCACTTTCCTTCAGAGTTTAGTGCCAACCCTAATCAAACACACCTGAACCAGTTAATCATTGTCTTCAAGAGTACTAGAAGGCTACAGGCATGTGAGTTTTATCAGGGTTGGATCAAATCTCTGCAGGAAAGTGGCCTGGAAGGGCCAAGTTTGCCCATCACTAGGCGCGTTTCCATTACCATTCAAATTGTGCAAATTGAAATTGCGAACCGCGCCTACTGATTTAAATGGTTGAGTTCTCATACCCAATTCCCATAACGTTTCCAGTTGTTTGTGGTTACTAGATAATAAACCGACTGTTTAAACACCAACGACTGCACCTCTAATAATGACCCCTCTGTCAAGCTCCTGATGTGCTCCACACTTATCGGCCTCATCCAGGACAGTGACGAGTCTGCTTACAGACAGGAGGTTAAAGAGCTGGCTGACTGGTGCAGTTATAGTGGACCCCCCACTCAGCATCATGAACAGCACTGTAACAAAAGTGGAGTCATTCGAGTTCCTGGGCACCACCATCTCATCTCTCAGGCCCTGAAGGGGGAGTTCTACAGACTCCATATCCTTTGCCAGCTGAGGAAGTTCAACCTGCCACAGGAGCTGCTGAAACAGTTCTAGTCTGCAGTCACTGAATCCAACCACTGAACTTCAATAACTGTCTGGTTCAGCTCAGCTACCAAATCAGACCTTAGAACGGGGGTGTCAATCTCAATTCCTGGATGGCCAGAGCCCTGCAGAGTTTAGATTCAACCCTAATTAAACACACCAGATCCAACTAATCTGGTCGGCGCTACAGAGCACTGAGCATCAGAATGGCCAGGCATAAGAACAGTTTCTTCCCTCAAGCAATCCATCTCATCAGCAGTTAACTTGCCAATAATCGTGTAATACACAACACTATTTAGCCTATAAACATATTTATTTAACACACCATACTTATTCACATTTCCTTGCATTTGTACATATCATACCTGTACACACAAATACCATCTGCTGTCTATTTTTGTATATTGTGTATTTAAAAAAAATATTTGTTGTACATTATTATTTCCTATTTACATATTCTATTTTTACTATCTGTGTCTTGTCACTGTAAACTGTTTGTGCTTCTGTCACCTAAACAAATTCCTCGCATGTGTAAACATACCTGGCAATAATGCTCTTTCTGATTCTGATTCTAAATAGAATAATTCAGAAAAGCCAGATGAGATAAAATCGAAATAAGAACGAGATAAGAACGAAAACTGGCAATCAATCCATTAACACATAAATCTGGAAGCATGCTCACAGTTAGAATCTAGCTGCACTCTTTGCTGCTTCTGTAAAGATACACGCATAAGCCTCCTTTGAATAAATATAGCCAAAATTTGTCAAAATCCCACCAAAATCCTTTGCCATGACTTATCTCGAGAGGCAAAAGGTTACGTTTAAGTCTCATAACATTGGTTAATGGAAATGCCGTCATTTTGCAATACTTTTTTATCGACATTCAGAAAATATCGCCAAAGTTTTGTGCAAATCTGTAATGGAAACGCGCCTACTGATTTAAATGGTTGAGTTCTCATACCCAATTCCCATAACGTTTCCAGTTGTTTGTGGTTACTAGATAATAAACCGACTGTTTAAACACCAACGACTGCACCTCTAATAATGACCCCTCTGTCAAGCTCCTGATGTGCTCCACACTTATCGGCCTCATCCAGGACAGTGACGAGTCTGCTTACAGACAGGAGGTTAAAGAGCTGGCTGACTGGTGCAGTTATAGTGGACCCCCCACTCAGCATCATGAACAGCACTGTAACAAAAGTGGAGTCATTCGAGTTCCTGGGCACCACCATCTCTCAGGACCTGAAGTGGGAGTTCTACAGACTCCATATCCTTTGCCAGCTGAGGAAGTTCAACCTGCCACAGGAGCTGCTGAAACAGTTCTAGTCTGCAGTCACTGAATCCAACCACTGAACTTCAATAACTGTCTGGTTCAGCTCAGCTACCAAATCAGACCTTAGAACGGGGGTGTCAATCTCAATTCCTGGATGGCCAGAGCCCTGCAGAGTTTAGATTCAACCCTAATTAAACACACCAGATCCAACTAATCTGGTCGGCGCTACAGAGCACTGAGCATCAGAATGGCCAGGCATAAGAACAGTTTCTTCCCTCAAGCAATCCATCTCATCAGCAGTTAACTTGCCAATAATCGTGTAATACACAACACTATTTAGCCTATAAACGTATTTATTTAACACACCATACTTATTCACATTTCCTTGCATTTGTACATATCATACCTGTACACACAAATACCATCTGCTGTCTATTTTTGTATATTGTGTATTTAAAAAAAATATTTGTTGTACATTATTATTTCCTATTTACATATTCTATTTTTACTATCTGTGTCTTGTCACTGTAAACTGTTTATGCTTCTGTCACCTAAACAAATTCCTCGCATGTGTAAACATACCTGGCAATAATGCTCTTTCTGATTCTGATTCTAAATAGAATAATTCAGAAAAGCCAGATGAGATAAAATCGAAATAAGAACGAGATAAGAACGAAAACTGGCAATCAATCCATCAACACATAAATCTGGAAGCATGCTCACAGTTAGAATCTAGCTCTATAAGATAAATATTATCCTTGATATATTATCTCTATTTGGATAAACACTGTTATTGTATTACAAGGATGATGCGTCTAAAATCCACGTCTGTCAGTAAGCAACAGCGCGGAAAATCCAACCTCGCCCAGTCTCCATTTAATCCTGCCATGAATCTACAGCAGGATCCGTGTTTACACTTTAACAAAACTTCATATCCATAAACGTACTCACACAGAGACAGATGAACGAATAAGGGTCATTTCTCAAACTACTCACTCGTTTTATTATCGCTGAAGTGGTGCGGTTCAGCCCATCTCCTGCTCGTGGCCCCGTTCACAAACTTCACGAGCGTTTTTCCTGTAGGAGCGGAAGTGGCTGTATGCGTCACTGCGTCAGGTTTTTTTTTTTGTCTTTGTTCTCTCATTTTCATTCTTTCATACAGGCACTTTTAAAATAGTAATATTTATATTTTTGTTCTCTTCCTTTAGTTGAATAATAAGCAGAGAATCAGGTACGTGGCTCACTTAATAAGGCAAGTTTCATTGGTATAAAAATACCTTTAAAAAAAACATTTTCGCTTAGTTACTAAAATAAAACTGGTAATTGTAATATAAAAATAGCAACAATAGGATATTATCCCCTATGATAATCAAAAATAATTAAACAAAATGTCTGATAATATTTATTTAGTACTGTAATTTTATTTTTGTGCCTCAAATGGCTTCTCAATGTTTATTAACCCCCTAAGCAAGATACATGTAAAGACAAAACCATTGTTTATTTCCGCTATTAATGCACTGCACTGAAACATGGGACAAAGCAGTCTGCAAATAAATAAATAAATAAAAACTGTTTCCCTGTCTCAAATGATATTGCAGATTAAACTTTGTTAACAACATGTGTTATAGGTACACATGCATTAAATGCAAAAGCCATTTTGGATAGCTAGGACCTACATAAAATTAGGGCAAAAACAGAGATTACACAGATCTACAGGTGAACCTTGATTCCCTGCACACAGATATGAACTGGATAAGCATAACAAAATTCCGGTATTCAGAATGTCTGTCGTAGCAATTCTTTGAATTTAGAGAATTCATAGTCTTGGATGTTCATATGTGTTTACAAACTGTATATTTATTTAGTACTGTAATTTTATTTTTGTGCCTCAAATGGCTTCTCAATGTTTATTAACCCCCTAAGCAAGATAAATGTAAAGACAAAACCATTGTTTATTTCCGCTATTAATGCACTACACTGAAACATGGGACAAAGCAGTCTGCAAATAAATAAATAAATAAAAACTGTTTCCCTGTCTCAAATGATATTGCAGATTAAACTTGGTTAACAACATGTGTTATAGGTACACATGCATTAAATGCAAAAGCCATTTTGGATAGCTAGGACCTAAATAAAATTAGGGCAAAAACAGAGATTACACAGATCTACAGGTGAACCTTGATTCCCTGCACACAGATATGAACTGGATAAGCATAACAAAATTCCGGTATTCAGAATGTCTGTCGTAGCAATTCTTTGAATTTAGAGAATTCATAGTCTTGGATGTTCATATGTGTTTACAAACTGTATGATATGATGTACACAATATTTAATCAAAACATTTATGCGCTGACACTCTGTGTTGGCTGTTTGTCATATTACAGCAAAAACCATTGGGTCATGGTCATGGACAACATGTAAATATCCTTCAACATTTTGTATTGTGGGACATGGGTTTTGTGCATATTTTCATATGATGTTGAAACTTAAATTCACATGATATATTTATTTTGTTTTATATAGATGACTGGCTGTATTCCACGGGAGATCCTTCGTTTAGCTATCTATCTATCTATCTATCTATCTATCTATCTATCTATCTATCTATCTGTCTGTCTGTCTGTCTGTCTGTCTGTCTGTCTGTCTGTCTGTCTGTCTGTCTGTCTGTCTGTCTATCTATCTATCTATCTATCTATCTATCTATCTATCTATCTATCTATCTATCTATCTATCTGTCTGTCTGTCTGTCTGTCTGTCTGTCTGTCTGTCTGTCTGTCTGTCTGCCTGTCTGTCTGTCTGTCTATCTATCTGTCTATCTGTCTGTCTATCATCTTTTCTGTCTATCTGTTGGATGGAATAGTGGTACAGGGTCATATTTTATACATAAAAACCAGGTCATCTTGTAAGCAACATTTGGTCAGAGTATTGCACCAAAGTACTAACGGCATATAGTTATTATGTCATCACATACCTGTATATTATACTGGCAACACAGAAAATTAAAAAAGAAAACAGCTGCTTGATGGAACATTATGTTTCACTCAAATTATATAGTTTCTCAGTTCATAAAGCCGGCATGAATTTAAAAAAAAATTGTATGTTGGACATACAGAAAGAAATGTCATACATTAAAGCAAATAATGCTTGGCAATTTGGCAATATAGTTGCATGTCTTTAAAAAATAAAATTATTTATAAGTGCTGAAACAATTGTTAATAGAACCATTAGCAGCAATTGGAGCCAGAGAAGAAATGGTTAAATGCATACTCATAATAATGGCATCTCTTAATAATGGAAACATCTCTTTCTCTGTTCTCTAGATGCCTATTCATGCAGGTAAAACTGTGGATACGACTTTGGCAGTTGTTCATGTACACACTCTTGTCAGTACTATGGAAACTGTTGCTATGACTATGACAGTAAGTTTCTCTAGAACCAACACTTTAAAATCAAATGCTATATACACAAATCTGTCTTGTATTCAGTATATGGGTCATTATTTCCAAAATTTAAATTGATTTATCTTCCCTTTATACAGGCTACTGCTCAGTGACAACTGGTTGGCCAGATACAGCAGGTGCACCTACATCTTTTCTTATCTTTCTGTCAGATTCAGACCTTTTTCTAGTTTCCTGAGTGTAGAGGAAGGCTGATATCTTTGTTTCTCTCTCTGCTAGATTTACCCTCCTGCAAGTATAACTGTGGATACAACCTCAGCAGCTGCTCATGCAACTACAATTGTCACTATTATGGCAACTGTTGCTCTGATTATGACAGTGAGTTGATCAGACACTTCAAGATATAGATAGATGCAAATATTGTATTGCATATATTATCCTCTGTGATTCCAGAAATTAAACAGATTTCTAGAATTTTTAATGCAGTTTTATTTCTTCCCATTATACAGGCTACTGCTCTACAACAACTGACTGACCAGCTACAACAGGTGCACCTATGACCGTCTTATCTGTCTGTCAATTCAAACCTTTCTCTGGTTTCCTGGATTTTGATGGAGGCTGATGTTCCTGTAGTCATACATCACACACATATTGATGGCTTTTAGTTGTACATGTATTAATACCTTCTCTGCTAATATGTTTCTTTTAAGTGGTTTAAGTGACACTAATGACATAAAAAACATACACAAAGGCAGAAATAATTTCAGCTGTGCTCTTCTAACAAAATGTATACTAATCAGTAAATGACTCACACATACTGATGAAATCTCTCTCCACTAGCTCCCTCCTGCATGTATAACTGTGGATACTACAGTGGCAGCTGCTCATGCACCTACAATTGTCATTATTATGGCAACTGTTGCCCTGATTATGACAGTGAGTTTCTCTTGATCAGACTGACACTTTAAAATCAAATACTATACACACAATTAAAAATCTTTTCTTTAGTCAATAGATTTAGCTGAATTAATTTTCAAATAAATGGCTTTCCTTTTAATTATTAATTTCCTATTGTTCCTATTGATCAGACAGTTGCTTTAAGATGAAATACTGTAAACACAAATCTTTCATGTAGTAAGCACATGGGTCATCAAATTTCTCGTAATGAAATGCATTTTGCTGAATCAAAGCAGAATTGTGGCATTACTTTTCTTCCTACTTCAGTTTTATTTCTTCTGTTTACACAGACTACTGCTCATCAACAAGTGAAACTCCAGTAACGTGGGCAGAAACAACAGGTATTGCTGCTATTCATTTGATTTTAAGTGACACTGATGGGATTAATGGATGTTAGAGAGATTAAAATGCTGTAACTTTATACACGGTTTCTTTATCTTTTTTTCATGAAAATACAACATTTTAAATATATTTTATTCTATTGTTTTCCATCTCTATATGAAGAACCATTTGGTGGCTATATGACAGATTGGATGGGTGAATTTTTCAGTCCCCGGTACCCTAATAACTACCCTGATTCCTCATATTGCACATGGACCATTCATAGCACAGGGAACACAACTGTGTCATTGATCTTCAACGATGTTGTGTATGACATTATTTGAATTTCCTTATTTTGGAACTGAAACTGTATACTGAAAATGTGTAACTTTTACATTTCTTTTTTCCAAGGAAACGTTACAACAGAATACTTATATGGTGGACAAACAAATTTATTTACATTAGTTTTCCCTGTCTTCTCTGCTTGCTAGTTTGGAAACATGCTGTGACTACATCAGAGTATATGATGGTCCTTCTACCCTCCACTCCTTACTGGGAGAAATACGGGACTACAGGAACCAGTCTTTCAAATCCAGCAACAATGATCTGACTGTACTTTTCTACAGTGATCACAGTGTAACAAATAGAGGATTTCATGCAAACTGGGTCTTTGTAGGTAAGCAATTGAAAGGAATGAATACAACTTGACTATAATATTATGAATTTCAACTTAGTTTGCTTTATCAAATTTCTAGTCATTTTGTAATTATTGTTTTAAATGTAGTATCAAAGTTAACTTCATTTGCCAATTGAATTTGATTTATTTTTTCCAATTTTTTTTTTCATAAAAATGCTAACAGAATTGTTTATAATCTGGAATCGTTAAATGAAGCCACGCCCAGAAACGGAAATGTTAAAGGGATAGTTCGCCCAAAAATGAAAATTCTGTCATCAATTACTCACCCTCATGTCTTTTAAAACCCATAAGACCTTCATTCATCTTAGGAACACAAATTAAGATATTTTTGATGAAATCTGAGCTTTCTGACACTGCAAAGACAGCAAAAAAACTGAAAAATGTTATGGCCCAGAAAGGTAGTTAGGACATAGTTAAAATAGTCAATGTGACATCAGTGGTTCAACCATAATGTTATAAAGTGACAAGAATACTTTTGTGTGCGGAAAGAAAACAATAATACTGACTTTATTCAACGATTTCTTCTCTTCCGGGTCAGTCTCCGCCGCCATTCACGAGAGTACCATGCCTGTGATCGTGCTGATGTAGAACACGCATACGCTGCGTCTTGTTTACAAGTAGAGGAATGCACACGCATGCGTTGTCATGGAGACTGACCCAGAACAGAATAAATCATCGAATAAAGTCATTATTTTTGTTTTCTTTGCACACAAAAAGTATTCTTGTAGCTTCATAACATTACGGTTGAACCACTGAAGTCACATGGATTCAACACTAGTTCAACAATACTTTAATTTTCTTTTTCAATGATAATTTGAATGATTAAACAGAGGCTCCCTCAGAAGATCCCTGCTACAGCTACACTCTACTGGACGATCCTTGGAGAGCCACTAACTATCAGAATGACTTAGTCTTAATGTGTGACCAGAATGTGAATTGGTTTGGCTGGTATCGTCTCTTCATTCATAGAGTGTCCAGATGCCAGACACATGTGTTGATATGAACAAATGTGGCACTGATGCCCCACTGTGGTTAAATGGAGGACACCCAAAAGTCGAGGATGGAGTGGTCACCCGAGATGTCTGTGGTCACTGGTCCAATAACTGCTGCAATTTCAAATCTACTCCCATTAGTGTGAAAGCCTGTCCAGGCAATTATTATGTCTATGTTTGTCAGACCAAGTGGCTGTTATTTGGCATACTGTGCAGGTAATCATATTTACATATTTATCATTGATTACATGTGTGCTTGATTCATCTACATTTGTGTGTCTCTTTATGAATAACTAGTCATTAAAACATTTCTTCCAGATGTGGGGAGCATCAACACCACATATACAACTGCTGCACCAGAGACCATCTCATCTGGTAATGGCCACACATAAGTGCTATAATACATGAATTTTCACATTTGCTGGCTACATACATACAGTCAACATGACATGCCTCAAATGTCTCAGCCTCTTGTCAAGGATACCTTTACCCATTGATCAACAACCACAGTATCTATTATGCCAATTTTGCTGATGTGCAGTAAGTGAGAGAACATGTGATTGATTTAATTGCTAGTGGAATAATGTTTGCCATCTATAAAGATACAAGCAATCTTTGATTAATGAAATCATTGTAATTATACCATATTTACCATATAAAATGTTATCTCATTTTATTTTAGTCTTTAATATACAGTATACATTGTGTACTGCTATAGAAACAGTGTTATTATTGAGGGTTTTTGTGTGCAGTACCACTAACGACCTGCAGGTGAAACCAGTTTTATGACTTGTTTAATTTAGGTTAAAATGTCTTAAAAGGTCTATTTTTGGTTCTTTCAGATCAGAGCGCTGCTGTAACTGTGACTACATCACAGTATATGATGGCTCTTCCACTGGCTTTCCACAGCTAGGAAGGGTCTGCTTCAATGCCACCACACACCAGGTGTTTCACTCTTCTTCACCATACTTGACTGTTGTCTTCAGGAGCGACTACTCTGGTGTCAGCCATGGTTTCAATGCCCTTTTCACAAGCTCTCTGACTGCAGATGAAGGTAATGCCTTGTGAAATAATACTAAAATAGAACAACTTTTAGATGCTAAACAACTGGAATTATTATAAAATATTTATAAATTTAAATAAATACTTTTAATGCACAAAAATACATTGAGGGGATGAAATTCTTTGCTCTGCAGGTCGTGTGGATTGTTCCTCAGACAACATGGTCATTGTCATTCAGACGTCTTACCTGAACTCACTCGGGTTGAGTGGAAATTACCTTTATGTGGATGACCATCTTTGCAGACCCAACATTAGCAGTACTGAGGCTCTGTTTAGCTTCCCACTTGACACATGTGGGACCGCCAAAGAGGTACAATCTACACGATCTACATGCTCAGTACTGATAAAAGGGGTGATGTCTCTTGTTTTCTTTTGCCAAAACTGAAAATTAGAATGTTCACCACACAACATCACCCACTCTCTGTCTCTCTTTTCCTTTAGATGATGAATGGTACCAACAATGTGCGGGCCTCTCAGTCTCAGTCGGGTGAAATCACTCGTCAGTCACAGTTCCTACTACGTGTGGGCTGCAGAATGGAGCCGGAGACCATGGTGCAGATACTCTACAAGGCCAGGGAGAACATCAATGCCAACATCACAGGAACGGGATGCTTCAATGCCAGCATAGCTTTCTTCACCTCCAACAGTTTCTACCAACAAATTTATGACTCTCCATATGAGGTGAACCTGAACCAGTTTCTTTATGTTCAGGTCAAGCTAAACAGGCTTGACAACAGTCTGGATCTGTCCTGGACACCTGTGTAGGGTCTCCAAATCACAGTGACTTCAAAGATTGCTCCTATGACCTTCTGCATAACGGATAAGACCTTTTCATTCTTAAATGTGACTCCCTCCACCATCATATCATATGTGACAGTGGAATCAGTTGAGATCTAAGACAGTATTTCAGTCAGAATTCTGTTGCTCCCAGTCTAAATATGTTCTTGTACTCATTTGAACTAATAGTGAAACCAACTCTGTCTGAGTTCGACTGTAGTTCAAACTTTATCTGTATTGTTTTTCTTTTTTATCTTCTGTAGATGTCCCATTGACAACACATATTATTCCTACACCAATGGTCAGCACAACTACGCTCAGTTCAGTTTCCGGGCTTTCAAGTTCCTCCGGACTCACGCCTCTGTGTACCTGCAGTGTAAGGTGATCATCTGCCCCGATAACGACTACAACTCTCGCTGCCGCCAAGGTTGCCTCTTACGTCACAAGAGATCCCTTGGCAGCACCTACCACACCAATACTGTGACGCTGGGGCCAATCAAACTCAAAGGTCAGAGGCTAATAGCAGGTATAATTTCTAATGAATTGTTATTAATATTGAGGCTTTTCTAATGACTGTCCACTGTCATTCCAGGCATCATATGAAGGAGTCTGAAACGTCTGAACTGAATGAAGTTATCATCTTCTTAATCATAACCTTAATTATTACTATTAATAAATCCTTATTAACCACCCAGCAAATTACTCTAAATACAAATTGTATTTTTGAAATTCAATAAAGCATTTCTAAAAAGCTGTCCTGGTCACTGGTGTCTCCAATGGTTTATATTCACTTGTATTCTATTCAATGCACACGGCCTCTCTGAAATGAATCAACATAATGCAAGGTACAAAAGAAATAAACAATACATATAAATCAAATAATTTTCAAAACTGTTTATGGAGTTTTTGTCTACTGAACTTTTTAAACTGTTTTGTCAGCTAAACAATTGTCATGTTGTTAAAAGAGAAAAAAACGCAAGACGTGAACAAGTTATCAGCCTGGATCAGCGACAGTGCCGCATGTGTTATTAGGGGCCGAGCACCGATGGTGTCAGATTGCACTCAGGCAATCTGCCCCAAACTTCACACGTTTGATAGGTGTTCTGTCCTGAAAAAAAAGAACCCAAATTCAGTTATACTCATAGCGCCACCTGCTGGAAACAGGAAGTGACATGCTTAACACTGTTATGGACTCCTAGGAACATATTAAAAAGCGTCAGCAAGTGTTAAATAGGCTGGCAACATGCTAGAAACATACTAAAACATGCTAGCAACACTTAGCTACGTGCTAAAGCATGCTATTAATGTAGTGAAAGTTACTGTAACTCAGGCATGCAGTGTCCAATCTGCCTCAAACTTCACATGTTTGATTAGAGTCCTGGCCTGAAGACATCTACATGCTCATATTCGGTTACAGTTATAGCACCACCTACTGGCAACAGGAAGTGACATGTGTAATACTGTGATGCACTATTAGTAACACAGTAAAATATGCCATTGTGTGCTAAACAAGCTAGAAATATGCTCAGACATGCTAGCAACACTTACTAAGTGCTAAAGCATGCTATTACCATGAAAGAGGAAGTTGTTGTAACTCATGCATACAATGCCCAATCTGCACCAAACTTCACACGTTTTATAAGAGTCCTGGCCTGAACACATCTAAAAGCCAATATTCAGTTATAATTATAGCGCCACCTGCTGGCAACAGGAAATTACTGGTTTCACAGTAACTTAAACATGCAATGTCCGATCTGCCCTAAACTTCACATGTTTGATAAGAGTCCTGGCCTTAACACATCTTAAGGCCAATATTCAGTTATAATCATAGCGCCACCTGCTGGCAACAGGAAATTACTTTGTTTACTCTAACTCAAACATACCATGTTCAATCTGCACCAGACTTCACATGTTTGATAAAAGTCCTGGCCTGAAGACATCTACATGCCAACATTCAGTTATAATCAAAGCGCCACCAGCTGGCAGCAGGAAGTTTGGCACATATAAAGGACTTTGAAATATTCCTCCTATATTTACAATTTTAAATGCATATTGCCCACTGTTTGCTGTTTTCCTAAAGCCACCGAGTGGCAGTGAGCCCGGGTGCGAGGGCCCTTTCATTGCTGCTTGCAGCTTTAATTGGATTTTGTTTTGTGTTTTCCCCTCAACAAAACATTTCTATGTCTGTCTTAGGAAACGGTTTATACAGTTCATTCACTTAAAAATATTTAAAATGCTCAATCAAAAAACTTCTCTCATTTTAATTTTTCCTATGTTCTACTTTTTACACTCGCACACGATTTCAATTTATACATTTTTACTTTCATTGAAGAATGTTTTGTGCTAGATATCTGGAGTTTTAATTAAGCAGAACTTTTACTCAGTATCCATACTTTCACTTAAGTATAATTTTTGAGTACTTTTACACCCCTGTGAATGACTTCAGGCCTATCAGATGTCATTGGCTGTGCGCAGTGAAAAGATGGATTGGCTATGGCCCTGATGCTGTTGTTTTTCATGAATTTGAGAATTTGCTGCCCGTGAAAAAAATTCTTACTTTGAAAGATTTTAACAGTTAAAACCATACAGAGAATTAGAGGAGGACATCCTTATGATAAATCAATATCCTGGAGTCTGAAACTACATAATTGTGGAAACGACACAGCTGGATGCAGTATGTATTTTATATCTGTTGACACAAAGTTTGTGATAGTGGTGTGGTCAGAGATTGCAGTATAGATAATTATCATGACACTATGTTTACATTTTATGTAGTTCAAACTATACTGTGGCAGTTCCACATCGCTTCAAAACACATTTGTTTCATTCAGGTAACTGAAACTGGTGCTACTTCCATGTCTCTTGTGTCACACCACAGACTTGCTCTCTTTTGTTTCATATATTCATAATTTCATATTTTTGTAAAACTGTAAATAACTGTACATATTTTTGTAAAACTTTTGTTATGTAATGGTGATAACTTTGCCTAAGAGTATGTGTTTGATTTAGTTTAATAAACATGATCACTCCACAATCACAAACTTTGTGTAAACAGACATATTCATAAATCAATACAGAGCCAAGAGTAATAATAAAAGTTGCATGATATCCAGCTGTGTCTTTTCCACGATTATGCTGCTCTATTGATATTTTTTCATCAGAGGCTCCAGGATATTGATGTGTTATAAATAAATCCTCCTTAGGCTGGTTTTGACTATATAAGTGGTAGTTGAATAATTGAAGGCAAACTTGATCAGACGAGAGAAAGATGGAAGCTCTGACTCTCCTTCTTTGTCTGCTTCTAACTGCTAAAACCTCTCTAGGTAAGAATATAATTAACCGGCAAAGGAGAAAATATATATCTGTCTGCCTGCCTGTCTGTCTGTCTATCTAATCTTAATGTCAGTTGTGATTCTCTGCATTTACGTTGTTGTGATGATCATTCTCTATTTTCCATCTCTATCTGAAGCATCATGTGGTGGCACTATGACAGATTGGATGGGTGAATTTTTCAGTCCTCAGTATCCTAAAAACTACCCTGATAACTCACTGTGCACATGGACCATTCGTAACACAGGGGCGACGACTGTGTTATTGACCTTCACTGATGTTTTGTAGGAAACATGTATTACCTCTATTGTTTTTGTCTCTAAATCTTTTGCAAAGCAATTTAATTATGTAATGTAATTGTATTAATTTGAAAAAAAGATGAAACTTTTGTGCAAACACATAATGTATGTTTTTAAATATTCTGCGTCAAAACATAAATTTGTTTCTCTCTCTTTCTCTCTCTTCTCTTTTTGTTAGTATGGAAACATGCTGTGATTACATCAGAGTATATGATGGTCCTTCTACCCTCTACCCCTTACTGGGAGAAATACGGGAGTACGAGAACAAACACTACAACTCCAGCAACAATGATCTGACTGTGCTTTTCTACAGTGATGGGAGTGTATCAAGAAGAGGATTTCATGCAAACTGGGTCTTTGTAGGTAAGCAATTAAATGAAATGAATAGAATATTTTTTTTTTAAACAATTCCGGATTGAATGTATGATTCCGGCAATGTTTTTTGCACATGAATTCTGTGACCAGTTCAGTTCATTCCCTTAGTGTTCTTTTTTTCAGTTCTTTTTTTAGGGAATCAAAGACACAAGGCTCAACCAGTGT